CACTTTCCCTTTATCTCGTCCCCAGCGACTGCACAGAAATTTCCTTTGCTGACGTATTCGTGATTTGATGTAAGCACCACAATGACAGACTCTCTATGTAACCCTTGCAGTGAAACGACCTCATGAGATTAGACATCACGAGCATTATTATATGCTAACATGACAGTACTTTATTTATAAATGCATATATTAAACATAAATACTTTGTTTTTAGGAAATATATGTATATCATCGTTTTCATGTTCATGCTATGCGTTTTAGGAAGAGCAATGTGGCTCATTAAAATAAGGAATGATAGCCACGGTAGAATGCATCTACATGCAGTAGTTAACAAAAAAACAGCAGAGCATCATTAATTTAATAATTTAATATTGTGGTGAAGAGGGCCTCAGAAGCAAAGCCTGGAATGACATTCCAGCCATCGTTGGAGTGGCAATACAGTTCATTCAAAATAATCACCTTATATATAACTCATTTGTCACAAGTCAATTACTTATATGTTCATGGCTGGATTGATGTATGAGAAAAGTACACCGTTAAGTATGTAAGACAGGACCTTTAATAAAGGAGGCCAAATGCCAAATTTGTGTTTTAATTGATATGTTCTCAGTATGATTATATTGTAACAGTACAAGGCACAATGATAAAAATTATAACTATATACAATAAAAATACATGATCTATTGAGCATTGGATCCAAACTGTTTCAATTCAAAGAAAATCAGATAACATTGAATGATCGGCGAGATCATGATTGTGTTATAACCTGATTGGCTCGTTAAAATTCATGATAAGCTAGAAGGGATGATTGTATTTTTTTATGGTAACAGAAATGATACATTTCTATTTAAAGCTTCCGTGACTGCAGGGATTCATCTTCTGGGTTCTTTCGGTAAAGTCACGTAGAATGGAGATAAAATAATAAAAATACTAATAATAACAGAATAAAATTCTCACGACGTTTCGGCCACAACACAAGTAGCCTTCCTCAGGTGAAGAAACAGGACTGTCCGGAAGACAGCGCTTGAGTGAAGCCTGCCAAGCTTAGCTGCGTCTTTTAAGCTGTGTGGGAGGAACAGAGCACCTTGACAAAGGAGTTTACATATAAATTAGCATGTAACTGGGGGATTAGCATGATGTTGATGTGAGGGAGAGATGAGCACCATGGAGAGCGACGAGCTCGGAATGGAGGAGGGGGGAGAGGAGTTTACATATAAATTAGTATGTAACTGGCATGATGTCGGTGTGAGGGATTAGCACCACGGAGAGCGACGAGCTTTGTTCAGACGGACGAGCCCATCTATGTTTGGAACGGAGGAGGGGGGATAGGAGTTTACATATCAACAGTAAATTAGCATGTAACTGAACAAAGCTCGTCGCTCTCCGTGGTGCTAATCCCTCACACCAACATCATGCTAATCCCCCAGTTACATGCTAATTTATATGTAAACTCCTCTCCCCCCTCCTCCGTTCCGAGCTCGTCGCTCTCTGTGGTGCTCATGTCTCCTTCACATCAACATCATGCTAATCCTCCAGTTACATGCTAATTTATATGTAAACTCCTTTGTCAAGGCGCTCTGTTCCTCCCACACAGCTTAAAATACGCTGCTCAGCTTGGCAGGGTTCACTCAAGCGCTGTCTTCCGGACAGTCCTGTTTCTTCACCTGAGGAAGGCTACTTGTGTTGTGGCCGAAACGTCGTGGGAATTTAATTATGTTATTATTAGTATTTTTATTATTTTATCTATATTCTACGTGACTTTACCGAAAGAACCGAGAAGATACATTTCTAATGTAAAAAAAATCCTGATTCTACGACAGATGTATTTAAATATTCCATTATTGAGTTCACAATACTCCTGGGTTATATTTTTTGGTGAAGAAAACACTTTAATTTACAGTACTAAAGTAGTTTCAGCAGCAAAGAATAATAAATGTGTAATAATTTCAAATGTGAGAATGGGGCCAATCCACTGGGATTATTTTAAAAAATCAGTGTACTCAGGCATCTAGCCACGGCAGGACCGAGTGGGCAGACCCTCTAACTATGACGCAGTTTTGAACAAGTGGCAAGATAAATGTATAATGTATAAAAGATCAAGAGACTTACACCTGTCATGGAAATGTGGACATTTTCGCCATTGTCTGAGTGTCGCTACAGGAGATTCGCGACATCATTATGCTGTAGAATGTTGTTGCCATGTGTGTTTTTGTTCATGCTGCGTTTTTTGGGGTTTTTTTGCTCCGCAAAATGTACAACTTAAAAACATTGAAACAATCAGTTTCTGAAGAAGCTCCCAGCATATGGAGAGAAATGTTGGACATCATGCTGAACAATACTCGGAGACTGCTACCCCATTGTTCATTTTGGCTGAAAAAAGCCTTGAATGTTGCTATTCAGTAATTATAATTGGGCCAATCCAGATAAATGATACCATTTATATGCGTTTTTGCCCATTATTCTGACCTTTTTTCATGGACTAGTGGTGATTTTGTTAACAATTGGCGTGATTACATTTTTTGGAATTCTAATAGGGCCCTGTTCACTGCTGGTGTGTTGCATTATGCAATTTTGACGTATTCTGCTCCACCATAATTTGACAGGAATGCTCCCACAAGATGAAACTTGCTTAACCACACCAGAATGCGTTACACTGCAGCAACGGATATGATGAAGAACCATCATCATCACGACCATTATCATAAACAGCATCGTCACTCCACTTTCTCATCGTAGTCTTACCCACATGCATGGTTTCTCCCCTGGGACACATGAGAGGTAAAGAACAGCGGCTTTTAGCTGGCCATTGAACGAAGGCGGTCACTGCATTGCGCACTTTCAGATGCGCTTCTGCGGCCGTCTGGAATGCTCTTCGTTCCGATATTAGGAAGCCACTGCAGCAATGCACTTTAAAATCTCGATTGAAAACTAATTTCTTTTGAACTGCTTTTTGTGTTTAGTTTGTTGTCCTTCCCCCACACCTCCCATCAGCAGGGTTGGATGCGTACGGTGCGAAAAAAGTTCAACATGCATAGTACATGCAAGTGGCTTCTCATGCTTCTGTTGGTTGTTCAGCAGCTCACCTGCATCACACCCCACAATGACCACCCGCTCTGCAGATATGGTAACAACCGCCTCACTCCCCAAACACACGGGAACCATCGCTGCAAAATCTTCTTTGGTTCTTTCGGTAAAGTCACGTAGAATGAGAATAAAATAATAAATTGATAAAATAAAACAACACAATAAAATTCAATTTATTATTTTATTCTCATTCTACGTGACTTTACTGAAAGAACCAAAGAAGATGAATCCTTGCAGTCACGAAATATTAAATCGAAATCGCTGCAATAGTTGGACCCCACAGTCTGTAGATGACGGCGAGGTGGGTGAACACTGCTTCCGACGGTGTCTACATTGGCCAGGGAGAAACTAATATTGACCTATATTCTTGGTTCTTGCAGTAAAGTCATGCAGAAGGGAAATAATAAAATAATACATTACAATTCTCACGACGTTTCGATTGCAACACAAACAATCATCATCAGGTGTGAAAACCACAGCAATCGAAACGTCGTGAGAATTTTATTTGTATTATTTTATGACTTCCCTTCTACATGACTTTACCGAAATAACCAATAATATGAATCCCTGTAGTCACGAAAGCTTTAAATCGAAATGTAATATTGACCTGTTTTAGCTCTCAGGGTTTCCCCTGGTTAAAGCGAGCCCCTATCAACCCAATAGTTTTTATCTGATGTGGATTTTTTTTTTACACAAAATTCTGATATGAAATGATCCTGAACAGAATTGATGGTGCAGCTCCAGAGGAAACAGACCTTGTATTTGTGCTCAAAAAATTAACCCCTTAAATATTTTATATATTTTGAGCCAAGACATGACACACACTGAATTTAAAGGTACATTTTCATGATTTATTTGAATAAGCACCAAAAATCATTTAGACTAAGGTGTTATGTGGTCTTCAGCCTAAATCTTGCAACCTGCAGCTTGATATCCGAATGTAGACGATATTCACAATTATGCATTAATTATGCAGTGTGCAGAATGACAACGCCAATTTCCCCTGAATAGGACTTCATGCACAGGCAACTTCTACAAATAATACACAGGTAGTCTGGAATAAATACGAACTCAGATATGCAGAATTACTCTGATTTGGGATGATGTGATTTTACATTACTATTATCCATGCATATTTGCAACACTAAATAAGTGTAGCTGTGGAATTGTAGTTATAAATGGAGCATTAATAGATGCAATAGACCACATCAAGTGGAATTATACATTGACATTGATTTATTTATTATATCACGAGTTGAGAATTTATTGAGACAACAGGTCTCTTGCTAGGGTCACCTTGGCCAACAATTGTAAAAAAAATCTAGTACAATTATTACATAGACATACTGAGCTAAGGGATCTACTAACGATATTCCATTGCCTTTCAGCAGTAGTAAGCAATCTGAGGCGATCAGACCATTGCACTTGAAAAAGTAGTTTAATAGTCATGATTTCCCAGTTTTTGAACCCAGGATTTAATTGACCATGACCCACCTCACGGCATGACTCAAGTTGGAGTCCCGCTCATGGCCAACACCAGTGACGTATATTTCCACCTCCGATTAGCACGGTTGGCTACATACGAAAGAAGTTCAACATACGTTGGTGATGGCTCACATTGGACAAGATCATTAGTTCTGAGCCACTGGGCCACCTCCCATATATTAACATCGCAACCATTAGTCCACAAAGATTGGCGAGCAAATATAACACAGCATTACTATTGTAGTGGATTAACACGCGCATGCAGTGAGGGAATGGTAAAGACGCGCGAGTTATGGACAGTGGGGGGGTTACGTGGGGCCGGCCAGGTGTGGCGGCAGGAAACTGTGCGGTAATGACGGGCCAATTAAGCCGGAGAGCGATGTACGGCTGTGATTGGCTGGGGTTGGTGTCAAGGGCGAGGTGGCGCCGGGATGTCTGGGAATAGAGGGGGGCAAGTAACAGGTGCGGGGGGGGGGGCGTCGGTGGCACGCGGCCTAATTAATTGGCTGGTAATGAGAACGGGGATATATTCGGGAGACACGGGAAGAACGAGTTGAGTTGTTGTCGCTGGGACTGGAACGAAGCAGGTCGGGGAGAACCGGAGCGAAGACATCGCAGACCGAACAGGCTAGCAGTAGAGCAGAGACACGCAGAGAGAGAGACGGAGACACGCAGCAAGAGAGAGACGGAGACAGAGGCGGAGGCAGAGAGAGACAGAGGCGGAGGCAGAGAGAGACAGAGGCGGAGGCAGAGAGAGACAGAGGCGGAGGCAGAGAGAGACAGAGGCGGAGGCAGAGAGAGACAGAGGCGGAGGCAGAGAGAGACAGAGGCGGAGGCAGAGAGAGACAGAGGCGGAGGCAGAGAGAGACAGAGGCGGAGGCAGAGAGAGACAGAGGCGGAGGCAGAGAGAGACAGAGGCGGAGGCAGAGAGAGACAGAGGCGGAGGCAGAGAGAGACAGAGGCGGAGGCAGAGAGAGACAGAGGCGGAGGCAGAGACGAGGCGGAGGGAGACGGACGAGCTGCGGAATGACGGAGTCCCAGACGTAATGTGAAGAGTTGTAATAATAAAAGTGGTGTCGGAGAAAACAAGAACGTTGTCTGTGTCAAGTCGACCACTACACTATTGGGGCCATTTTACACGAACCAGAATTCACATACTTTGAGCAGTGAACGGTAACCAGGTGCACAAGTTGTGCACGTTAAATAACTGGGTCCACAAAGTTTAAAAGACCGTAGTCGAAAAAAAAACCCGTTGTCATCTGTGTTCAATAGTTGCAATAGAAAAACGTAACTTTAATTGGATACGTATATTTTCAGTCAGGGCATGGTCCAAAAATAGCGCTGCTTTTTGGATTATTGGACGGTAAATTTCCACCATGCATCGTGGCCATGAAGTCTGAGCCATACAAGTACTTAATATAATTTGCACGTTCTGTCATTGTTATACGTGCAGTACAAAAGGCGGGCATGACGGCGATGACCAAGACAATTTGCAGTTGTTGGGATAAAATATTAAATATTTATATTCCACATGGAAACATGACGATACGCATAAAATGATTCAGCAATTGTGCAATCTACAGTTTTAATTTAGATTGTACAGCCAAGAGCTGTATTTCACAGCAGGCATCCATTCTTTCCGAGTGATCATTGAGATGAAACTGCGAATTAAATTCAGTCAACATGGCAAATTATATCCCAAAATTATAACAATACACACGAAACAAAATCATTATCATACATTGTTTATCCACTTCTAGATGACAGCTTTCCCATTTTATTGCCATCAGTTACAACAACATATGAATTACATATTCTAAAAAGGTACCTGTAAATAAATTTCCCTCGTTTCAAGATTAATATTTTTGCTTGCATACATTTACATAAATTAACGTTGTGTATCTCTATTTTCATAGAGCAAAAATTATATATGCAGACAATATTCCCCTTCAATTTAGATATTTCAATGCTAAATTCTATGCTAATTCCTTTGTCAAGGGGTGCCTCTGCGGATGTGTATGCTTTAACTTTAACATAGCCATTTCTGTGACCAGTCACAAGCTAATCACTCAGCCATTTCAATGCTAAATGATATGCTAATTCCTTTGTCAAGGCGCTTTGTTTCTTCTCACACAGCTTAAAGGTCGCGATCTGAGCGTGGCTTTTTCACTCCAGCGCTGTCCTCCAGACAGTCTCGTCCCTTCACCTGATGAAGGCCGCTTGTGTTGTGGCCGAAACGTCGTGAGAATATTATTGTGTTATTTTATTTTATCAATTTATTATTTTATTCTCATTCTACGTGACTTTACCGAAAGAACCAAAGAAGATGAATATTCCCCTTCATATATCTGTTTCCACATAATACACTAATAAACTATTTATTATACATTTAAAACAATATTTTGTTCTACATTTTTACGTGAAAAGAAATAAACGTAAAGGAGACATTTTCTGCTTATCTATTTAGGACCCATTTCTAAGACCCTTGCATAATAGTGGTTTTTGGGTTAGATTGTGTAAATATTTGTCATTTAAACCAACCACCACCCGACACAGCCAACTAGTAAGGGTTGTCACGTAAACAGAACATGCCAATTCGTCACTAGTACAGCACACCGGTGTGTTGGAGAGCCAAGCCACAACATTTACAATCTGAGTACGACATTTTGCCAGTAATTACAACTAGCTTCATCAGGCGACAGTCAGATTTATGGAGAAATCTTACTGTTTCGTTCCTTATATCGAGGCGTAGATGTGTTGACCACACTTTTGCACTCTTGCACAATGTGTGGGGGTGGGGGGGGTTACTGAGTCAACGTACATTATGCATTCGCATTATGCGAGCCCTTTGAACTTGTCCTTCCTGTCTATTGTGTTTATTAAAATAACACTACCAACGGTAATCGCTATTGAGGTATGCTGCCCTTTGTAGGCATGCATGTAAACAATGGATTATTTGATGATTCACTTCCATGCAGCACTAAGGCGGTAGCTATCCGAACGGTTAAAGTTATTTTGATTTATTTCAATTTCCATAGATTCTCTAATTAGTCTTGCCTAGTCGTAGCTAGTTTTACACAAAACTTCAACATTATCAAAATCAATTAAGTGTCCTTGTTGGCACGCCTGTTCTGCTTCTGCTGACAGTTGTATTTGAGAGAATTTAATATTTCTCTGTTGTTCTTTCAGTCTCGTGCTGATCATTCGTTCTGTTTGCCCAATATAACATTTACCACACGGGCAGTTAATCTTGTACACACCTTCTGTTGATAGCTTTGGTAATACATCTTTTGTACCAGATATTAATTTCTGTATTTTATGTACCGTGCCAAATCTGACTCGGATGTTTTGTTTTTCCAAACATCTGGCTAGTTTATCAGTTACTCCCGCAATGTACGGTATTTTGATCGTTTTAATTAATTGGACAGTTTCAATGCTCTTGTTATTTTATTTGGTTTTGGTATTCAATGCCCTGTTGATTTGTGCATCATTGTAACCGTTCATTTGCAGCGCATCTTTAACATGTTGAATTTCACTTCTCAGACTTTCATCTGACACTTTCTTAGCTCGATGAATGAGCGTCTTGATAAGAGCAGATTTCTGTGCTACGAATTGGCATGTTCTGTTTACGTGACAACCCTCACTAGTTGTCTGTTTCGGGTGGTGGCGGGTTTTAACGACACATTTATATATTTACGCGATCTAACCCAAAAACCTCTTATGGTCGCGAAAGCTTACGTGTTAAAGATCCTTGCATTTGACACCTGGCAGTTCACAAGCATTGATTCAAGCAAACCTGACTTTGCTGCTAAGACACTGCCATGTTAAAACCGATCTAGAGTTTGCTTGTACTGAATCAATACTGCTAAAACTACTCACTCCAAGAAGGCCACAGGGGCTGCTGGGCTCTGTGAGCATTTTTGTATCTATTGTTATTTATATTCTCCACAATGACGTTCATGATAGTTTTAGGGCATATAACTACACACAGTGGTGGAGACTCCAATGCTCAAACATTACAATGCGGTGCACAACTTTTTGCTCATCTGAGCTCGTTAGAGCTCATTTAAGCGGGATATACTTTGTTGACTTACAATATAGTACGTCTCATCTACAGTAATCACAAATAATTAATTTCTATGGTGCACAGCTTATGACTGTAATTTCATATCAGAGCTCACAGCACGCTGCACACATAAAAATGTTTTCAATATGCACTGGGCACACTATGTGTAAATGTATAATACTACTAATACATTTCAATGCATCAGAAAATGCAATAGTAGCGTGCATAACATTGTAAAACATTCTATTGTACCTCGATATGCAATATCTGGCGGAAAGAAACCCATTAACATTCACGCCACATTGTCCAAGCAGAGAACATGTGATCATAAATGTGCCTGAATATTCTGTGGGCATGCCTACATGCATACATAACAATTGTTATTCCGTATTTTTAAGCAGCTTTAATGGACACGTAAGTTGTCCGAGTGTGTGCAAAATGTATTACGCTGCCTTACATAATTGTGTCGTAATTTAAAGTACATGATGTGACAATGGACTGCCTTCAGATAATTGTTTTTTCAGAATTAAAACAAAAGTATCAGGAAAAAAATGGGGTGTGTATATTTACATTATACGGTGTAAACGTTTACTTTTGAAAATGTAGCCAATATGATTAACTTTTTACCTATGATCTCACATTTGTACGTCATAACTGTATTATTTCCCATGAAATGAAGGGATGTACACATATGGCTGCACCGGGAAGTATTAATTTTATTTTTCCACGGTTAACAGAGTTTACAATGAGTCAGACACCACTCACCAAGCTTATAGCACAATTACCCATCATTGATTCAGCAAAACATTTCACTTATAATGCTTTGATGTAAAAATATACGCATTGCTCTGAATTAAACAAGTGCTACTATTGTACCTCGTTCATAATAAAACGCTATAATCACTCAGTGGGACTGCTGCAGAGGCTGCATGTTTAATGCACTCAAATGGAATAATGCTAAGCAGAGTAGCTTGTGCAATTAAGTGCAGCTGAATAAGGGTGCTTGAAACATATTATTTTTTTCCATTGGCAATTGCAAGGCAAAGCGACTAACTCAGTAGCCAAAACTGTTTGGTAATATTCTTGGGTCTTTCGGTAAAAGTCACGTCGATAGGTTCAAAGAAAATAACAAAAAAACTACGACGTTTCGATTGCAACACAAGCAATTGTCATCAGGAGAAAAAAATAGCGGAAAAGCTGCTGATCCAGGATGTTTTAAAGGTTTGAAATGTTTGGTGATATTTTTTGTGCAAAACTACCGATCTTGAAGCTGATTATGAATTTGATGAAAGGGATAACTTTCATCGCTTATGAGTCCAGTATCGTGAAATTTGTATTACGTGGAAATGTTGGTTATTTCCAGCTAAGCAGTCGACGTTGTGTTACCGACTACTTACAGCAGAATGCCACAAATTGAACCCCAGTCTCTAGGCGTGGCTAAACATATCGGTGTTAAGTCATTAAACATGGTGCTCAACACTTCACCGAGTATTGAGCATATGAAACTAATACATGATACTCTTTGGTTCTTTCGGTAAAGTCACGTAGGTACTGGAATCCGAAATTTGCACCTATGTGACTTTACCGAAATAACCAAAGAGTATGGATTCCTGCAGTCACGAAAGCTTCGAATCAAGATTAATACATGATTAAAGTTTTCAAGTTTCAAGTTTCATTTATTAGGTATAGCCCTGTGAGCCATGCAGCTCTTAAGTCTGGTGCAACCGCAACAAACAAAATATGAATATACATTGCAGAAAACTATTACACCACAAACAGACCAAAATAAAGCTACAAAAACAATGTAACAACAGTAATAATAGGAACTGTGATTTTAAATTCAACAATAAACGATATACATAACACGTACGACAAAAACCTGTAGCCATAGCTGGCAGCACGACACTCCCAGTGTATGATGTGTGAGTCAGCAGCAGTGTGAGTGTATGATGTGCGAGTCAGCGCACGATGTGTTAGTCAGTGCACGATGAGTGAGTCAGTTTATGATGTGTGAGCGAGTCAGCGGCAGTGTGAGTTAGTGAATGATGTGCGAGGCAGCGCACTATGTGTTAGTCAGCGCATGTTGAGTGAGTGAGTGTATGATGTGTGAGCGAGTCAGCGGCAGTGTGAGTGAGTGTATGATGTGCGAGTGAGCCAGCACACGATGAGTGAACCTGTGTATGATGAGTGAATGGGTCAGTGGTTGTGCGAGTGCATGGTGTGAGTGAGTCAGTGCATGGTGTGAGTCAGTGCATGATGTGTGAGTGAGTCAGTGCATGGTGTGAGTGAGTCAGTGTATGATGTGTGAGTGAGTCAGTGTATGATGTGTGAGTGAGTCAGTGTATGATGTGTGAGTGAGTCAGTGCATGGTGTGAGTGAGTCAGTGTATGATGTGTGAGTGAGTCAGTGTATGATGTGTGAGAAAGTCAGTGTATGATGTGTGAGTGAGTCAGTGTATGATGTGTGAGTGAGTCGGTGTATGATGTGTGAGTGAGTCAGTGTATGATGTGTGAGGGAGTCAGTGTATGATGTGTGAGTGAGTCAGTGTATGATGTGTGAGTGAGTCAGTGTATGATGTGTGAGTGAGTCAGTGCATGGTGTGAGTGAGTCAGTGTATGATGTGTGAGTGTGTCAGTGTATGATGTGTGAGTGAGTCAGCGTATGATGTGTGAGTGAGTCAGTGCATGGTGTGAGTGAGTCAGTGCATGATGTGTGAGTGAGTCAGTGCATGGTGTGAGTGAGTCAGTGCATGGTGTGAGTGAGTCAGTGCATGGTGTATGAGTGAGTCAGTGCATGGTGTGTGAGTGGGTCAGTGTATGATGTGTGAGTGAGTCAGTGTATGATGTGTGAGTGAGTCAGTGCATGGTGTGAGTGAGTCAGTGTATGATGTGTGAGTGAGTCAGTGTATGATGTGTGAGTGAGTCAGCGTATGATGTGTGAGTGAGTC